ATTATATATTATATAAAATATTATATATTATATAAAATATTATATATTATATAAAATAATATATAAATATATAACGTAAAAAGCCATGTTATTTTTGCTAAATAATAAGTTAACAGATGGCGCCTCATACCTTCCCCGGATTTAGCGATAGCTCATCATAGGTTACTCTCTCCAGTAGTTTGTTGGTACAGAGAGATAAGCTGGTTAGGGTTAGACTGAAGCAATGTAGATAAAGTGCACTGCTCAAGGACTAGGACACAAGCGAAGGATTGAAACCCTTACCTCCAATTTCGGAAATCAAAGCGTCCCACTGCGCAACAACCGCTCATTTACCATCATAAAAGTTATACTTGTTTCTATTCTATATTTTAAGGTTGAAATAATAATGACAGCTGAGCCAAGCATAATCATCGATAAAGGGCAGGAGTCAGAATTAGTGAGTAACTGATATTATTACTCATTAACATTATTATATAGAGCCTAGCTTCTGTCTTTCAAATTTCGGTATTCAAATTTAAATGAAAATATATGAAAGCAACATTTTTAAAAGACAGGATCGGTCCAAAAACAGAGACATTTTGAGGTATCAGCGTTTCGATCTAGCTCCTGTCTTTCGAATCTCAATATTTAAAATTATAGGCCTATTTAAAAAAATATCATACAACATTATAAAACGTTTCAACCTGTTTGATCATTTTCAAGAATACATGTTGTTAATATTTGCGGTTTTGTTCAACAGAGGTATAGGCCTAATTTATTTAGGCATGGGAGATACTTCAATGACATGGAATTGTTATACTGTACTTATATGTATATTTTTGAAATAAATGGTTTACCAGAATGACACGGTTAGGCAACAATGCACCAGTTATACATTGGTGTCCTTGGTACATTACCTAATAATAATAATAACAATAATAATAATAATAATAATAATAATAATAATAATAATAATAATAATAATAATAATGATAATATTAATAATAATATTATAATAATAATATTTGAACATACTTAACAAAACTGTGGTCACACCAATAATAATTACTTTACTAATTCCACAGAAGTTAATGTAAAAAAAATTATATATTTTGTATATGTACAGGAAATTATCACTTCTAAGTTTTTTTTTTTATTTTACGTAATTATATATCCTGTTAAGGAGTGCAGCGGATACAAGCCGAATATAATAAAGAAGGTGCTCGTCTGCCTTTTGGCTGTGCTATCATGTGGATTCCTTCTGCTGGTCTTTTATTGGAAAAGCGATTGGCGGCTAAAGTGCACATACTCACAATGCCAGTTAAATGAGGCTGAAGCTGTTTTGTTAAAGGTTAGATCATTACGCTTACAATCTTTAATTTGACTAATAGCATATTGGAAAACCGAGAAACAGCCAGCGGAATAATACAATGAATAATGTAATTTGTAACGTAACCGAAGAGAAATCTGGCAAAGAAATCCTCCACCGGGACTCGAACCCTGGACCTTTCGCATGCAGGACATGGTGAACGTCATACTTGACCACGAAGTTCATTAGGTTTTGCTGCGTTGCACTGTAAACACAATATAAACAAACAGATAAATAATAATACCAGTGTTCGAATAGAGAACATTGGTTATCATAATCGTACCAAGCATAGCCCTTCAACGAAAAGTTACTTTTTCAGTTGTATCAAAACATTTTCTCTTTCTGGCGAGATTCGTCGCTAGAATACCGTATGCCGCATATCCGGTGGAAAAACTCGTCAGATTTCGACGGCTATTAGACGTCTTTCTATTATCTAACTGAGAATATGCTAATTACCCACTGCACTGTTGCCAAGGGCCTTCAATCAATCAATCAATCAATCAATCAATCAATCAATCAATCAATTTATTAGGAATAACACCTTAAGATCGGTGGCACACACAACAATAATAGTGGTGCATCCAAATTAACAATTTTTACAGACAGTGAGGTAAATTAAAAGTAGGCGTATAAAGAAACACAATTAAAAATAATATGTTTAACTTAATGCTAAACAAAACCTAGAAAAGTAATTAACGCAATTGATATAAAAATTCTAACAGGACAATAAAAATCACTAACCTGTATATCAAACAAAAGCAACATAAACTGTAAAATAGATTTAGACTTAAAAATGAAAGACAGAGAAAAGTCAAATGTAGAACCATGTCAATGAAAAATTGCTTACAGTATTAAGATAAATTATTTATGGAATTATGGAGAGGGATTAAAATTGATATATTTCGGACAATCAGAATGAATAATTGTAAGTTTGTGTAATATATAATAATGAGATCGGTGGCAAAACACAATTTAGATATAAAATGTTAAACTTAACTAAAGGCAAAAAGACCGAGATAAAATTAACCAACATAGGCCTAATACATAGGGATTCAAACAGACCAATAAAACATCACAGCCTGTTTCAAACAAAAGCAACATTTAAGAATATATTTAAAATTATATATGAAAGAAAAGTATCAAAATTAGCATCGTGTCTTAATGAAAAATTGCGAATAACAAATCAATAGAAAAATAATAAATGTTTACAAAGATAAGTGTGAAGCCTTATCTTCACACCTGATAAGAACTGTAACAATAGCTAAGTAGTGGGCGTCATTTCATATTACTCCCGGGTCCTTTGTTGTTTTACAATAAAAAATACATAATAAACAGTTTGTTTATTACACTATTAGAGAGAGTTTTATACGGTTCGACGAATCAGACATTGACCTCTTTCCGGGTCCTGTTCGATCGTTCTGCTATCGAATGACCGTCGAATCAAGGACTTTTAACTGTTACCAGGATAGGAAGCTGGCTAGTTTAAGCCGTCTGATTTGAATTAACCTTATGTGTGGTATTGTTATGAGCCAGATAAGCACAATCTACACATGCTCAGAAAAACAAAACTTTCCTTAGCCACACTGCGTATCGGCTAGGCGTACAGCTAGGCCTAGCCTAGAAATACGGTACGTCAAAACAAAGCAAAATAAGGATACTTATTTGACAAGGCCGTTTTTGTTTATTTACATTAAAATTTAACATGTGTCTGCAAGAAATCATCAATGAAGGATTTTGTATATTTATCAAATAAACAGTACTCAAGGTCCAGAGCGGGTAGGAGGGGCGTGTCAAGCAATTTAATTGGCTTAATTAAGCAGCAGTTATCTTCGATCTAATCGCGCTTATCTAAGCCATTGTTCTTGAACGTATCAAACCGTGAAAAAATAGTTACCTGAACCATAGAGCAAAGAAACTCTATGCCTGAACAGGGTCGAAACGCTGTCGATATAATCTCTATCACTATCGACTTATCGACGTCTAATCGACCCCGACGCGTTTTTTCAGGCACTCTCAAATGTAGGCCTACAATGATTTTTGTTTTTGTTTTCTCATTTCAGGATATATACCAACGAAAGCATGTGGCCTACATTCAAACAGTGACCAAGTATATGTTTCATTCAAAATACAACATATAAATTGAGTTAAAACCGGCCTATTAGATAGATTAGAGGACCCTGATAATTATTGTCTTCTTAGTTTCCATTAAGAAGCCATTCCTATTTTTAAAAACCCGAAAAACAGAAATAAATACAAACACACTATGGCCAGTTCTATTGGAACATCTAGGCGTAGGCTATATTAAGAGGACATTGTTAATGGTCTAGAAGGTGTTCTTTAAATAGGGACTCTACTGTACTCTAGCAATTTATTTATTACCTTTTCTAAAAAAAGAATTTATATACAAAAGAGTAAAAAAAAAAAAAAAAAAAGAAAAACTTGAATAATGTTAATATTGAAGTAAAGGTTATATTCTTACAAATCACTATTATTTAGTTTTGTATTCGTAAGGGGAACGATTAGGCCTATTTTCTGAACGCTTTCAAAAGGCAAGCACTAGAATAACAACATAGCTGGCAAATTTGTAGGCCTAAACATTTCTCTTTTTGGATACATTTTTTAACAGTAATGTCAATTCCGAAGAGCTATATGAAATAACGAAAAGAAAAATGACGAACAATCTGAAGTTTTTTACATTCCAAGAACTGAAGTACATTTGGCACCCAGATGAGAACATATTTTTACGCCTACGTGCACTGGACCATGAAACAACGTGTTCCAAGATTTACGGTTATAGTGCACACGGCGGACTATCTCCTTCAGCAATACGCACAAGGTAATTATATCGTTAAACTCGAACACAAGAATCGTTTTGGCAATTCAAATCTAAACTTAATACCTTTCATTTCAGTTCTCACTTCCGTTAGTTCATGTTTTTCCTTTTTCTATTATTATTGGGATTATGTGCATTGTAATTTTGAGGCAGCTAGCTTCGGCACGAGCATCTTATTATTATTATTATTATCACTTATCGTATTATTATTATAACTATTAGTAAATAGTCTTATGTTTCACATTGTTGTATCCAGCCATGAAATTTCACCGTAGTGGGATGAATAAAGTATCCTTGTATCCTTGTACCTTCGTATGGATGATAGATGCATGGCCATATAAATTTCTGATTGATTGATTGTGTAGTCACGTGATGATTTTGGCGAGCTTGTATTACGTCAGCATGTTAAATATAACAAAATTCTAATATGAAATTCATCTCATGCAACCATTGGCAGTAGCGTGTCAGTGTACAACATAATTTCTGTCTCGTTTTATTTGTTATTGAATGGGAGTAAAACCGACGAGAGCCTAACAATTTTTAACAATGGTTTCCCAAATAGTGTAAATGCAAATTAGTTTCCGTCTCTCCATGATACCATCTAATACTGTTTTTAGGGTCGATTTTTCATCGTTTTAAGAGTACAAAACGTAGGCCTACTCTTCTTTTTGACCCATCAAATATACACTATAAAATGCACAATAAAATGATCAATATATCTTCTTTTACTAAGGAATACCTACACTGTAAACTCTTTCCTCTACCGTTTTTTTACTCTTATGAAAATGGTGAAAATGATGGACGGCCCCTTATAAACCTAGCTTCTAGAACTTCTAATTGGAATAACATAATTAGGCCTACATTACAAGGTAGAGGTATATAAATCAGTCTTATGAAATCTGTAATTACTCCATTAGGACTGAATTGTTTTTCTGCATCTCAAATTCAACCAGCACTTTATAGTCATATTACATTTATTGAATCAGTTTCAATGAATGTCACCTCTTATAATATAATTGAAGTTACTTTATTGATACCACTTTATTTACATTACAGTTTGGAATTAATCCAAGTAAAATAGGCAACACATTTACTCCGCTGTACCCTCAGTCATGAGTAGGATATGTTGTATTGCCATGAATCATGATGTAATACGTTTTATGAACGAATTATTATTTAAAGTTCCGGTTATCATCACGATTTTTTAATTGAAAAAAACAAAAAACAACCACATACAACAAAGTAGACTACCATATGTTCTTATGTGTTTGTAACTCACAAATTGTAAGGCCTTAAATATATGGTTTGGCAAATCTTCACTCAAATTATTTCCAATTTATCTCTTCCAATCCCAAATTGATTCTGTTGATATAGGGCCTACTTCGCTACCTTGGACTTATTATCTCTCATGACCTAAAATGGCATTCTCAAATCATCACACTTTACAAGTCTTGTATCCGTAAATTGTCCATCCTCAAATACCTAAAACATCCCCTTATTCGTCACACACTTGCCCTTTAATTTTATTCTACACCCTCTGCAGCCTTCCACCCTCTTACCTGTCGCCAATGCTATAATTCTCTTCGTTACTCCAGCAATAAAGCCCTCCTATCCCCCTATTCCTATCCCTTGTCGCACCGCTTCAAACCTGATTCCTTCCATAATTTACCCTTCCCTTATATAGCAAATTCTCAACATGTAGACCAATAATTAACTCAACAGATACTTACCTATCTTGGTAAATATAATTTATTGTAATTTGTATTGCATTGTATTGTAATTTTCAACTGACCCTTGAATGCATACTGAAGCAATACACTGAATTGAATGCTATAAGTTAAGGTTTATATCATATGTACTATTATATCGCGTTCATGGTTATTAAATTCTAATCTTCAGGGAGATGCTGTATGAAAAAAACATTATACATGTTCCGATACGACCATATCTTGTGTTGCTTGTACAAGAGGTAAGATTTGAACTTCCATCAGGTAATGCCATTTGCATTAGTTGAGGTTTAGATGTGATGCTAAATCCAGTACTTAACATTACGAAGTTAATTTAATTAAGGATCGAAACGTCATGATGACACATTAACTTTCCAGCTTAAGTTATAGTTTATTCATGGCTTTTAGAGATGATGCATAATTTTGGCTTAAATGCCTATGATATTGTTTAGATTTAATATTTTATGCTTAATCTGGCAATAATCATTTACAACTGAGACTCAGTATACTGTATTACTTTATAATTAAATTACTAAAGTTAAAGTCCTGGACTAACTTATTAAACTTTGGAGAACAGGCCTTAAGCGTAGAGGTTTGCCACGTGTAACGTTGAATGGTCTCTTTCTAGATTTTGAATCCCTTCTATGTATTCCAACTATTCAGCGTGACGGTGTGGATCATCGACGAATACTATTATTACAGTTTCTGCATCATAGTTATGTCAGTTGTTTCCATAGCGATATCTTTATACACAACACGAAAGGTATATGTTTGTTATATGTCAGAAATAATGATTTGTTGGAACACAATGGTTAATCTCTTTACGTCAATTTTGTACAGTTTATGACCCGAAAGAATTGCATATAATTGCCAAAATAGAAATAAATATACAATTCTATTTTTCGATGATTAAGGAATTCAAGACATTTTAGAAAACGAACTAGTTCCAGGTGACGTCCTAATTATTCCTCCGCACGGCTGTCAAATGACATGTGACGCTGCCCTCATACAAGGAAACTGCATCGTTGACGAAAGCATGCTAACAGGTGGATACAAAAATATAATTATCGCTTTATTTAAATAATCTAGCATTCACTCTTTCGTGAGCCTGTGAGGTAATGGGCCCAGATTATTTGCAGGATATACAAAATAAGTTTTAATGAAAGAATGAATGCAATAAGTTTGAAATCGGGCTTCGGACGAAAAAAGGCTGAAAGTGGGGCCGATCCAGATAACACCTCCCTTTTTTTGTTTTCAAGACTCCCAAAAATATTTTCTGAGGCTTTTTGGGCGAGCATATTTTTCTTTTTCTTTTTCTTTTTTTTTCACTTTCCAAAAAAGGAGAGGTTGGGGTGGGGGATGGTGGAGCCGTTGAGGTATTGGGTCCAGATTATTTGCGGGATGAATGAAATAAGTTTTAATGAAAGAATGAATGAATAAATTAAATTCAAGCTCCGGAGGGAAAAAAATGATATGTTGTAGAACTGATATTTCTAAGAGAGAAAAATATTATTTGATTAATAGAAGGAATGGTGAATGAGATACAGATTTTGAATATTTAAAAACTGGGGGAAAGGGGCGTAACATCCCATTCTTACACCTCTTCCCCCAGTCTTTAAATATTCCAAAATCTGTATCTCATTTACCGTTACCCAGTTTTTTTACCCTCAACACCCCCCCCCCCAATTTTCCCCCTGCTCTAACATGTTAAGGGTGGTGGGGGAACCGGACGTCGACGACCATCGCCCCGAAAATAATCATTCTGTGAAGCCCAGTCGGAGAAATGCTGCAAGTATTGCCATAACAGAATTTTCTAAAGCATAATATTGAATACTGCTTCGTCTTTAACTATAATTTTAGAAATACATCTGCAAATGAAAGTCAAATTGCTTTTTGAGAACATGAGTCAATAATAATTGTGTTTATAATTTCAAAGCAGGTAAGATTCTAGGCCTATGCCTACTGGTAAAGAATATGATAAAAAATAGATTATACAATACATGATAAAATGTTGTGATGGATGTAGTCTGTAGACATTCCTTATTCGTTATTGACTTATTTTAGCGATTAACATAGTCATTTTATGATATATTTTATTGCATTATATTTAGTGGACATACACCCGTTTGTATCAGCCGCACTCACTTCAGTGGTATGTTCCACTTACCTTAACATACTGAATACTCTACTATGAGGTACTGGGGTGGGTCGAGATATTTTCAGGAGGGGGTGCAGAAAGAAGGGAACTCCTGTATAAATAACGTAAGTTTAAATGAATTGGGGAACCGTCTTCTGTCTTGTCACCCTCCCATCTTTCGAGAGACTTAAAGCCAACAATAATATTAGCCTCAAAATTTTTACCATAAGTGACCGCACCCCCCCCCCCCCCCCCAAAAAAAAGCTGCTTAGTATTTACTTAACATCTGTACATTTTTTAGCCAGCTAACATTTAAAAGCACTTTAACAAGTTAATGGTGGTTGGTGGGGGCGACCATCGCCGCCTATGAGTCCACCAGGTGTATCACCTAGGTAGGGGTCTGGGATTACGCTAGAGTGGAATCGGATGGTGACGTACCCCTTGAAGATTTTGCATTTTTGTTGAGCCAATTTTATGTTTTTCTTCATTTCTTTTAAAACACTTTTTTGTTTTATGTGAAGCGAATAGAAGCTTTTTTCATTACGCGTTATATAAGTAACATTATTATTATTATTATTATTATTATTATTATTATTATTATTATTATTATTATTATTATTATTATTATTATTATTATTATTATCATTATCATCATTTAAACAATCATTCTGTGAAGTCCAGTCGAACTGTAATTTAGAAAGACCTTTGCAAATGAAAGTCAAATTACCTTTTATATAAATAAAAAAAAACATGAGCCATTAATAATTTTGTTTATAATGTTAAAGCAGGTTAGATAGGCATACAGTAGCGTATTCAGTAGCGTGATAGTAACGCAGAGAATAATAGTGCCGTAATAAAACAAGATAATAACATTATTAACATTACTATTATTAATAATTTAAAATATCTTAATTTTTTATATACTTAAAGGAGAGAGTATTCCGGTTACCAAAATTCCTTTACCAAATGCATCAGTTGATAATGAAGAGTCTGCTTTTCTGTCGATAACCGAACACTCCAGACGCATACTGTTTTGTGGGACCAAGGTAATGCAGACGAGGTACTATGGAGGCGAACACGTCAAAGCTGTTGTTATTCAGACAGGTAAAACATATCAAGTATTGCTATTATGAACGATCAACTCACATTAAATTCAAAAGGACTTATTTTCAGTGGAGTCAATAGGAATAATATACGAAAAACAAGCATTAAAAGTACAGAACAGAAGAACACAGGAAATCATAACAACTTCAGTACAATCGAAAGATACTGAAATAATCCTACCAATGTATTATTTTTATTGTCTACAAACCTTCGAAAAAAAAAGAATATTCATTCTGTGTTGTCTGAACTTTTTGAAGGTTTCTCAACAGCTAAGGGGATGTTAATACGCTCCATACTGTACCCAAAACCGGCAGAATTCAAATTGTATCGAGACGCTATCAGGTTTATCCTAACACTCGCATCAGTCGGTGAGTAAAACATGGAGAAAATGAATTATTATTAATAATAACTAAATTACTTTAGAATTTTCATCTGACAATCAAAAACTCCAATATCTAAAAACCTCTACAATGATACTTTACATAGCATCTGGAAATGATGAGTGTACGTTAAATCTAAAAACAATCTATTAAATTATTATGAAGATTTACAAAATATACATTAAACTAAAAAGTTTACTTGTACTTTTTGTTAAGTAGGGCCTAAGTTATATTATGAAAAACTGCGAACTCTCAAAAGCACTGTTATCTCTCAGGCTCATCAATTTTGAGATAACATCAAGATTTTATCAACATCATTCTTCAACATATAGTTTTTTAGTGATTTGTACAGCTTGGCCATAAGCCAACGATGTTGGATCCTAGATTTGCAGGGGCGGATTTAAGGGGGAGGTGGTAAAAAAAGAAAAAAGAAAAGAAAAAAAAAATTAAAGAAAAAACAAATTATACCCTAGAACGCCTCAAATGTTATTTTCGGGCGTCTAGAACACACAAATTTCGAGGGGGCATGCCCCCGGACCCCCTAGGGATGGTGTTGTCTCGTCGGCCCAACTTTCGCCCCCCCTTTTTGGCCCTCTCCCCCACCCCCCTTTGGACATCTCTGGATTCGCCCCTAACCTGCCTAAATCTATTCTTATAGCAAAGTATGTTCATCGTGTTTTATGATTAAAAACCAAATAATTATATTATTTGGATTATCATTGTATGTGTTAACAAACTTTTTCTTTCTTTTAGCATTCATAGGTTTTCTGTACACAATATATCAGCTGGTGATTGCCGGGGTATGTGTATTATTAATTTTAGAGGGCTACATTTATATTTTAAGATTCTTAATTTTTACAAGGGATTTTAAAAGGCTTTGGTTTATACAATGTCATTCCCAATTTCACGTCATATTGAGCACAGCCATTCTTCTATTCATGTTCTAAATCAGTTTATGTCCATAATTTGAATTCGTATTTAATTTTTTTTTTTACTTAGTTTCCTTTAGAACGCATCATCATTCGAGCACTAGATATCATCACGATCGCCGTTCCTCCAGCACTTCCTGCTGCTTTGACCATAGGAATGGTGTACGCTCAGTATAGGCTAAAAGAGAAACAGATCTATTGCATAAGTCCCCAGAGGATAAACTTTGGCGGAATTCTTGATATCATCTGTTTCGATAAAGTAAGCACTGTATACTTTATTTACTTGGCTTTAATAACTGTTGTCCTAAAGGCACTTTTATAACTAATCACAATAAAGCCAAAATTAATCGGATCGTGTACGAACATTAATAAACAAATATGATAATAACAATAACATTTAAAAATACTGGAAACGTTACATAGATAATTATCACCAACAGCAAATAAACCTATAAAAACCACAATGTAAGTAATAATAAATGTAAGTTTTAACATCAGGTAGGCCTCCATATGTTTAAAAGAAATATTTTATTTTTTCTTTGAATTTCTAATGTCATTTTACCTGATCGAAATTCGAAATTGCTTAATTCGTGTTCTAAAGACAGGCACACTGACAGAAGATGGATTAGACCTGATGGGAGTACAGTTGGCAATTAACTCTACGTAAGGATTTTATTTTTATTTATTATAAATCGATTGAATTGAAAAATTATACGATGTATTTTCATTTCCCATAGTTGCTCCATCGAAAAAATTGTAATAGAGAGTGTGAAACGGATTCAATAATCTGTGACAATAATGTGTTATATTATGACGTAGCTTCATTCTGGCTAAACTGCGTCCTAGAATTCAGACGATGTGCCTATGAGCAGATAATTTATGTGACGTCATTTTGTTCTATAACCTACCGCCGTTGTTCAATCGAAAATTCCCTTTTAGAATATTTTCTAATCAATTATATATTTTGAATAACATGATTTGCTCCACATAGGTTTGATAAGCTACTGACAAACATGGAGAGGTGTCCCATTGGTCTGTTTAAATATTGCATGGCAACTTGTCACTCTTTGACAACAGTCGATTCAGAACTTGTCGGTGACCCGATTGATCTAAAAATGTTTGAAGCTACCGGCTGGGTACGAGAAATGTTTTTTTGTTTCACTGAAGCTAAAATGTACACGACTAATTTTCATGTGGAATCAATATATTGCTGCGTAAATTAGAACAGTAGATAACCATAACCAAAAGCCATTTCAGTATAAAGAATAAGTAAAATAAAAAAAATCAAAACCGATTAGAAGCAATTTCTTCCGCAGTTTAGATACAGTATCTGACTGCACTAGCCCTCAAAGCATTAAACATGAAACATACATCAATACGATATACCCATTTTTATTTTAATAATTCTAAAGATATTTCAAGACAAAATCTAGCTATTTTAATCAAAGACCTTTTTTATACAGATATTAGAAGAAGCAACGGCAATCGAAAGTGCTAATCTAGACCAGATTGTTCCAACCGTCGTAAAGTCGGTTAACGTCCTTGAAGTAAGTATTAAATAGCCAAATTTGCTAATACGTTCAACATAAACAGCAGCATTTTGATCGAATAATATACAGTCTATTATCAACACAGCTCATAAGAGATTTAGTATACGTTGTTACGGAAAATACGGTATTTCGGTGATAGCCGCGGCCATCGCCGGTTCGAAGCACTTCTGACAAAGATTCGGTTGGTAGAGCAAGTCTTTTCCGATATAGACTTAAGACTCAGTGATGGCGCCAGGATCTGTCCGACAGGGGGGAGGGTTAAAGGCTCCGACGCAGGTGGGGGCTAGGCGAGCGAAGCGAGCCTCACTTGCCTGGGGACCAGCCGACTAGTGGCCACCGGTGGGGTTCTAGGGGCGAAGCCCCCTGGAAGCTACGGATATTTGACGAATTTTGGTGAATTTTTATTAAAATATTTGATAGGCATCGACTTCATGTATGTTTTTTAATGTCGAAATTAACTTCCGAACACTTTGAATAAAATAACGAGAAACAAAGAGTATATAATGTAACCAACTAACTTATTTTACATTTTATATTAATAAAAAAAAAACAACCACCGTATTACATTACAATACTATCCTCCTATCATGGCGAAATACATGTTTTTTTTTTATAATAATAATTTTGCCCGAAATCTGTAAACCACGAGGTTGCTTCCCCGATCAAGATGTATGCCAAGCCTCATGAGGATATGCAAACGAGCATTTGTCATAGTAGAATGTAAACCATTTTTTATGGTGGGGGTGGGGAGGGGCATTTGTATTTTTTTAAATTTCATTACATAACATTAATATGCACTGACATTTTAAAAACTAGTGTCAAAACGGTGTTTTGACACTTGACACTGTTCTTCTGACTTACGTTCTAATAGATGTTTGAACGTAATTAATTAATTAATTAATTAATTAATTGCGAAGAAGAATATTTGTTGTTTCATGGGTTTAATTCAATTTGAAAAGTAATATATACGGTAGTCTGATAACAATAAAACGGAACGTGAATTTATGTTATATTATTATTATTGTTACAGTATTATTATTATTATTATTATTATTATTATTATTATTATTATTATTATTATTATTATTATTATTATTGTTGTTGTTGTTGTTTTGTTATTATTGTGATGAAAAGTTTACACAAACAGTACACAAATAGATCAATGAAGGCGATATGGTTGCTAAACGAACAGACATCTAAAAATATTTTTTAAATTTTTTTTATTTCCCGACGGAATGTACTCGTCTTCCCCGACGGAGGGACTGGGCTTCCTCGGGCGCCACCACTGTTAAGACTTCAGTTTCAATGTACACAGGTTCATGTGCACATATATAGTGATGGTGTTGATGATGATGATGATAATAGTAATAATAAGAAAAATAAACTTCTTTTATTACGATAGAATTGTGATCATGAACTTGGAATCTTACGTCAATTTCCTTTTTCTTCGCGTCTTCAACGAATGAGTGTTATCACAAAGACACTGAATAGCGACAGAATGATGGCCTTCGTTAAGGGGTCACCGGAAATGATAACATCTTTGTGTAAAGAGGACACAAGTAAGACTTTTAAATTGATTAAACACATAGTACCGCGTAGTTTTACCTAGATGTAGACTACTTTTTCTATTTGAACAATTGTTTTCAGTTCATTATTCCAATAGTAACGCCACTTGGAAATAAAATATAAGTCATATCATAGTTGGGTAGATTATTTTATAAGCTTTAATTTTGTCTTTGAATGGCTTTCCTAAGACAAGTAGATTCAGAGATAAACGTTTGTATTGTAGGTGTATGAGAACCTGGTTTTGTGGAACTTAGCTTCAAAGTTTAACTCAAGCAGCTATAGCTCAGTGGGATAAACTGGTGTTACTCTGTGTGCAATGAACCACGGAGATCTCTAGGTCCCCGGTTCTATCCCATCGCTGCTCTCCTTGTGTTTCGGCTGGAGGACTGAAATCTAAGTTACGATAGCTCACTAACTTCCGGATGAATGAGACGTTTAAGCCTTGGTCCCGTGTGCATTATGGCCCGTGTTCACGTTAAGAGAGCAGTACACTATTCGGAAATGAGTAGTGTATTGATTCTCAATCAATTACCCAATTACCACCAGAAAGACCCCACTGGAAATAAGTCTTCTTCGGACTTTCGTGGGTTATCCTTTGTGTTTACACTGAATAAATCCATCCATCCATTCATCCAACCTGTCCAAATAATACAACTGGAAGTACACAATAAGCCTGGAGTAAACTTTTATAGTAAGAAAATTACCTTTAATAAAAGGATGATAAACTATAACTATCAAAGCATTCAAAATAATTAAAATCATACTCATAAAAAATAACTTTGATCTATTTTGGTGATTATTTCACCAAAAGAATAAAATAAAATTACAAACATAACAAACAATGATGATGATGCCTTTTGAAAATATTCCTTTTTCTATACTCAGCTCTATGAATAAATACCTATTGTTCGTTCTTTTCGTTCAATAATTGTAATTGTTGTCGTGTTATATAAAATATTATTTTAAAAATAAAATTATAGTACCACGTGATTTCCTGGACATTTTATCCGAGTACACTAAGCAAGGGTTTCGTGTTCTGGCTTTGGCCTATAAACCACTGGATTCAAATTTAAAGTGGCACAAAGCAATGAAGGTAAAGCGAGACTTTGTGGAAAGTGACCTGTCGTTCCTAGGCCTACTGGTGATGCAGAATAAACTAAAACCACAGACGGAACCAGTGATCGCAGAACTTCACAGAGCAAACATTGACGCTGTAATGATTACAGGTAACTGACATTTAGAATTATACATCAAATTGCTATCTATATTATATATATATATATATATATATATATATATATATATTGCTAACTATATATATGTATATATATATTGCTAACTATATATATATATATTATATATATATATATATGTATGTATATCACATACATATACATCACATATATACATACATAATATACACACACACACGCGCGCGCGCATCCCCCTTCCCACACATACACACTCACATTCCTAAATTCCTGAGCTGCAACGACGAGATCTAACAAGAACGAAACAGTAATGC